GGGTCCCCCTGTAGCTCCAGCTGTCCTGGAACTCACTATGTATACCAGGCTGGCCTTGAACTCACAGAGATCCACCTGCCTCTGCCTCCTAAGTGCTGGGACTACAGGCGTGTGCCACCACGCCCGGCTTAGAAATCTATTTTTTGAGATGTGGTCTTCATGTTTTCCAACCTGGCCTTGAACTCACTGTGCAACCAAGAATAACCTTGAACTTCAGATCCACTGCTCTAGAACTCCAGAGTGCTAGGATTCCAGGAATGCAACACAACAATATACACCTGGTTTATGTGGTGCTAGTGCTAAGGATGAAACTTGGGACTTCATGCATGCTAGACAAGCAGTCTATCAACTGAGCTCTATCCTCAGCACAAAAGATTTATTATTATTATTTTTTGGTCTTTTTGAGACAGGTTCTCTCTATAGCCCCAGCTGTCCTGGAACTCACTTTGTAGACCAGGCTGGCCTTGAACTCACAGAGATCCGCCTGCCCCTGCCTCCCAAGTGTTGGGATTAAAGGCATGCGCCACCACGCCCGGCTTTTATTATTTTTATTTTATGTGTATGCATGTATTGCCTGCATGTAGATAAGTGCACCCATGTTGTGCAATGCCTACAGAGGTCAGAAGAGGCTGTTGGAGCCCCTGGAACTGGAGTTATGGACAGTTGTTAGCTGCCATGTAGGTGCTGGGATTCAAACCCGGTTCTTCTGTAAGAACAAGTGTTCTTAACCGCTGAGCCATCTCTCCAACCCCAAGATTTATTTTTAAACCATAAAATTTCCCAGGATTTCTAAGCCGGGTGTGGTGGTGCACACCTTTAGTTCCAGCACTGGGGAGGCAGAGGCAGGCGAATCTAATAGTTCAAGGCCAGCCTGGTCTACATAGCGAATTTCAGGCCAGTTAGAGCTACAGGGAGACCTTGTTTCAAAAAAGACCAAAAAAAAAAATTGCAGGATTTCTGAAAATTCAGACTCTTCATCTTCAAAACCAAACAGAAAATAGAAATTAAGCTGAATAAAGGAGAATATCTGCATTGCTAGCCATAAAAAGACTACATTAAGTTGTATGATTTGTGAATAACAGATTTGTAAAAGCTATTTTGGCTGGATGTAATTGTATAATGCCTATAATCTCAGCACTTGGGAAGTTGGAACAGAGGGGTCAAAGTGAGTTTGAGACCAGCCTGAGGAACATAGTGAGACCTCTCTAAAGAGACTCAAAAACTCAATCCCAGCACTTGGGAGGCAGAGGCAGGTGAATCTCTGGGTTCAAGGCCAGCCTGGTGTACATAGCAAGTTCCAGGTCAGCTGGGGCTACAGGTAGACCCTGCCCAGAAAAAAAAAAAAAAAAACAACCCTGAAAAACAAAAATCATTTGGTTCAAGAAAACTACAAAACATGAATAAAGGCTTTATTTTTATTGCTATTTTAATGTTTCTCTTCTAAGATTCAACTTGGAGAGAATTTATTGTAATGTGAAACATAGGAAGAGGAAGTAAATTTGTATTGATTACAGACATTACGTTAGAATATAGCTGTGTGTGTGTGTAGTGTATGTATGTGTGTGCCAATATGTATACCCCTGTGAATGTGTAGAGGAAGACACTGGGTGTGCTGCACTATCACTGTCTGCTTTTTTCCCTTGAGATAGGGTCTCTCACCAAACATGGGGTAAGGTTAACAACCTGCAAGCCCCTGCAATCCTCCTGTCTCCATCCGTCATAGCATAAGGGTTACAGGGACCAGCGTACCCATGCTTTATAAGATTTTTTTTATTCATGTGTATGTTTACACATGTGAGTGCATGTGTATGTTTACACATGTAAGTGCACATGTATGTTGGTACCCTTGGAGGCCAGGAGAGGGTGATCCCTTAGAGCTGGAGTTATAAGTGGTTGTGAACTGCCCTACATAGGTGAACAAAACTTAGGTCCTTTGCAAGAGCAGCAAGCTCTCTTAACTGCAGAGCTGTCTCACCAGAATCCACCCCCACCTTTTTTTTTAGGAAAGTTCTCACTATGCAACCCTGGCTGGCCTGGAACTCTCTATGTAGACCAGACTGGCCTTGAACTCATGGAAATCTATGTGCTCCTGCTTTGTGAGTACTGAGATTAAAGATATGCGCTACCACACTCAGCATGCTTGGCTTTTTGTATGGGCCTTGGGGATTTGAATCCATCATGCTTGCACAGCAATATTTTTTAGGAAAGTTCTCACTATGCAACCCTGGCTGGCCTGGAACTCTCTATGTAGACCAGACTGGCCTTGAACTCATGGAAATCTATGTGCTCCTGCTTTGTGAGTACTGAGATTAAAGATATGCGCTACCACACTCAGCATGCTTGGCTTTTTGTATGGGCCTTGGGGATTTGAATCCATCATGCTTGCACAGCAAGCAGTTTTACCCCTGCTGAGCAATACCCAGGATCTACATGATGGAAGGAGAGAACCAGCTCCTGTAAGTTGTCCTCTGACTGTCACACGCATGTAGTGGCACACATGCACCACACATGTATATACACGTACACCAAAATATATAAAAAGAAATTTCTCTGTACAGGACAGGCATGGTGGCTCATGCCTGCAATCCTAGCACTTGGACGGTAGAGGTAGGAAAATCAGGAACATAAGACTATCCTTGGCTACAAGTGAGCTCAAGACCAGCTTAGGCTACATGAGACCTTGTCTCAGATAAACCAAAACTAAAATAAGACAAAAAGTACATTCTTTGTATTTTTTTTTTAAAAAGGTGAAAAAGGGGACTGAGGATGTAGGTTACTGGTAGAGTACTTGCCTAGCATGTGCAAGACCCTGGGTTCAATCCCCAGCATAGAAAAAAAATTTTTTTAAAAAGGAGAAAAAGGCCAAGCCTGATGATGGCACATGCCTGTAATCCCATTATTCAGGAGTTTAAAGCAGCAGGAATGTGAGTTCCAGGTCAGTCTGAGTGGGATAGTGAGCTCTAGGTTAGCCTGTGCAAGACCCCAACTCTCTTTTCCTCTTAATAATTCATTTTATTGCTGGGCATGGTGGCACACGCCTTTGATCCCAGCATTTGGGAGGTAGAGGCAGGCCAGTCTCTGGGAGTTCAAGGCCAGCCTGGTCTACGTAGTGAGTTCCAGGCTAGCTGGGGCTACAGGGAGACCCTGTCTCAAAAAGACCAAAAAAAAAATGTTTTTTTTTTAAAATTAGTATTGGAGTGTGTGTGTGTGTGTGTGTGTGTGTGTGTGTGTGTGTGTACAACCTTTGGGAATTGGCACTCTTCTTCTACCCAGGGTTCCTTTCACTGTGGGTTCTAGGGATCAAATTCCGATCATCAGGCCTGCATGGCAAATACTTTCACCCACTGAGCTATCTCACCTACCTAAGACCCTGTCTCATAAAAAAAAAAAATAGTAGAGAAAGTCAGAATGAATATGAAATTATGAATTATGAGAATCATAAGATGTACATTCTATTTTTAAAAAAATATTTTCTTTATTTTTTGTGTTATGAGCGTATTGCTGCATGTATATAAGTGTACTTGTGTCGTGCAGTGCCCTCAGAGGTCAGGAGATGGTGTCGGATCCCCTGGAACTGGCGTTATGGACACCACATGGGTGCTGGGATTTGAACCCTGGTCTTCTGCAAGAGCAGCCAGTGTTCTTAACTGCTGAGCCATCTCTCCAGCCCTGATATGTGCATTTTAAATGACTAATTTTCTTTTTCTTTTTGAGTGCTTTTTGTTTTTTGTTTTGGTTTTTGGTTTTTGTCTTTTTGAGACAGAGTCTCCCTGTAGCCCCAGCTGTCCTGGAACTCACTATGTAGACCAGGCTGGCCTTGAACTCACAGAGATCCAGATCCGCCTGCCTCAGCCTCCCAAGTACGGGGATTAAAGGCATGCCCCACTACCCCCAACCTTCTTTTTTAGTGCTTTTTATTCTTTGAAAGTTTCATTTATGCAGTGTATATCGATCCACCACTACCTCCTTTCAACTTCCTCTAATGCTTCCCACCCTGTTTCTCTCACAACCCTCCCCCTCCCCTTTTTGGTCTTTCTGAGACATGGTCTCCCTATCTCCCTATAGCCTTAGCTGGCCTGGAACTTGCTCATGTAGTCCAGACTGGCCTTGAACTCATAGACATCTGCCTGCCCCTGCCTGTGGAGTACTGGGATTAAAGGCATGTGCAACCATGCCCCAGTCATCTCTCTCTCTCTAAAAATTTATTATTTTATTTATTTTTTGCACCCGTGTCATGCAGTGCCATGGAGGTCAGAAGAGAGCTTTGGATTCCCCGGGAACTGGAGTTAAGGATGGCTCATAGCCGCCATGTGGGTGCTGGGAATTGAACCCAGGTCCACTGCAAGAGCAGTCAGTGCCCTTAACTGCTGAGCCATCTCTCCAGCTCCCCGCCCCCTTTTTCGGTCTTTTTGAGACAGTGTCTCCCTGTAGCCCCAGCTAGCTTTCCTAGAACTCACCAAGTAAACCAGGCTGGCCTTGAACTCACAGAGATCCACCTGCCTCTGCCTCCCAAGTGCTGGGATTAAAGGCATAGACCACCACACCTGCTGTCTCTTTTTAAAAAATTATTATTAATAACCCACAGAGTGTAGTTAGTGCTGCTTGTATACACATGAGTATGGGGCTATCTACTGGAGCATGAGCAACCTACCAGTGGTCATATTCCCAAAGGTATATGACTCTCCCTCCCTTAGTAACATCAGCTGCCAGTAGCTCCCTCCATTAGCATTGGGGCCTTAGAATTTTGGCTGGCTTGATCATGTACAGGTCTTATGCATGTAATACCAGCTGCTGTGAATTGATGTGTACAATAGTCATGTCATGTCCAGAAGTCTGCATTTGACAGCTCTCCTCTGTGTCCTTTGGCTCATAAACATTCCATCTTCGCATCTGCAAAGTTTTCTGAGCCTTGGATGGTGGGAGGTTGATATAGGTACCCATCCACAGCTGAGTACTCAGTTATTAAATATCTTTAATTTTCTATTCCCCTCTTTCCACAGATACTTAAGAATTTGACCCTACAGGTTCCAGTGGGACTGACTATACACACCTCTTTAGTATGTTCTGTGACTCTGCTCATTACAGTCTTGTGTTCTACTTTGATTCTTGTAGCTGTTTTCAAATATGGCCATTTTTCCCTGTAAGTTTTATACCATTAAATGTTATCTATAAAATTAATAAATAAGACCTATTCATTTGTGATGAGAAGTGTTCTTCCAGAGTTAACTGATTACTTTTGTCTTTGTTTATGGTTAAAATTCTCTTTGCTAGAAGAAATTTGGGGTCACTGTTAGCTAATTCCAAAATTTATTGCTTGTCTTTGTGCTGGTTAGTTTTTGTCAAGTTCACAAAAACCAGAGTCACTTAAGAAGAGGGCATCTTAATTAAGGAATTTCCTCCATTAGAATGGCCCGTGGCCCTGTCTTTGTTTGTTTGCTTTTGAGGCAGGATCCCATTTGGTAGCCCTGTTTAGCTTGTAACTCACAGAGACCTACCTCCTAAGTGCTAGAATTAAAGGTATGCACAACCACACTGACCTTATGAGGCATTTTCTTAATTGCCAATTGATATAGGAGGGCCCATCCCACTGTGGGTGGTGCCATCCCTAGGCATTTGGACCTGGGCTGTATAAGGTCACTGAACAAGCCAAGAGAAACAGGCCAGGAAGCAGCATTCCTTCATGGTCTCTGCTCCACTTCCTCTCTCCAGGTTCCTGTCTTGAGTTCCTGCCCTGACTTTCCTCAGTGATGGATTGTCACCTGGGAGTTGTAAGCTGAAATAAAACCATTTCCTCTCCCAAGTTGCTTTTGGTCATAGTGTTTATCACAGAAAAGTAACTAGAATAATTGTATAAAGCTTTGATAATCTTCAAGCATCATATGCTAGTAAACAAGCTTTGTTAAAGTAATACTTATTATAAGTGACTGTCTTTATTTGTGACAGAAAAATAAGTTCATTGTATATTAGTGACAAATTATTCTCATTTTGTGAAATGAACTTTTTAATTTACCCTAAAAATGGAGACATCTTTATAATTAGGAATACATGTTAATTTAGATGAAAACCAGAGCAATTTAACCTTCATGAAAATATTCAAGCCACTTATTCAGAGTTCCAAAGAAAATAAAGTTGGCACTTAAGAAATTATTAATAAGCCAGGCATACTGGTAGAAGCCTTAATCCCAGCACTTGGGAGGAGAGGCAGGCGGAGCTCT